GGCGTGGTAGCACATGCCTGTAATTCCGGCTACTAGGAAGGCTGAGGCAGAAGGATCACCAAAGCCCAGCGGGTCGGGACTGCGGTGGCCGGGAGCAGTCACTGCACTCCAGTCTGGGCGACTGAGTGAGACTCCAACTCAAAAAAAAAAAAAAAGAAAATGGTTTTTGAAAGCCAAGTATTCATCTCTGAACAATGATGTATCTGTCAACAGTCAATATACATGGCTAATTTGGATATTGTTTCTACTTAGAATATGGTAACTCACATACATAGGATAATTTAATTAATAAACAAAACTCTCAGCAACACTGAGAATGTAAAGAAACCACACTTTAGGAACCTAATTTCAGAGGGTATTAGGTCAGTGTTAAACAGTAAATATGAAAACATCCAATATTCACTATCTTTTGGCTTTTCTAATAAACAGAAATGAGAGAAATTCTCAATTCACTGAGTTAAGCTTGGGAAATATGTGCTGGGAAGCAACGCTGTGATACAGAGATTTTCAAAAGTATTTTCAAACTGTTTACCTAAAACTAGAAAAGCTACCTCAGTTCACGTTCCCTGTGACTTTATTTTAACTGTAAAGCAAAAGGGATTTTTTGTTAGGAAGAGAAGAAAATATTCAAAGGGAGCTAATGAAACATTTTATAGGCCCGCAAGTCACAAATCTATGACATGGAAGCCATGTCTCCAATTCTGAAATTACGTACCTTACACCATCGCACTATGATGCCTCCAGGTTTTTCTATCAGTTCCTCTATCTGCACTGGGGGGCGAGATGCTACAGTTCCATGCTTAAAAATGTGGTCTTTCACTATATTAAGAATGGAGTCATCCAACTGAGCAGATAAACAAGGCACATCAACAAGTAAAGGCACTTCTGGTAAGCTGAGGAAACAAAGCTCATGTGTTACAAGACTTTTAACTAAGAATTAAAAATAGAAGAAATTTCTTAGAATGGAAGGGCTTAAAAAAATACAAGGGGCTGGGCTTGGTGGCTCAACGTGTAATCCCAGCACTTTGGGAGGCCAAGGTGGGTGGATTGCCTAAGGCCATGGGTTCGAGACTAGCCTGGGTAACTTGGTGAGACCTCGTCTCTACAATAAATAAAAAACAAAAAATTAGCTGAGCGTGGTAGCATGCGCCTATAGTTCCAGATACTTGGAAGGATCACCAGAGCCCAGTAGGTGGACACTGGGGTGGGCTGTGAGTGTACCACTGCACTCTAGCCTGGGCAACAGAATGAGACTCCAACTCAAAAAAAAAAAAAATACAAAGAATACTTTAAAGCATTTACACGCATGCTTAAAGAAACCCGAAGCCCCCAGTAAGTAATTCTTATTTCTTATTATATACTGCAGGAATTGGCACGATACAACATACTGATTCTTCCCAAAATAAGCAAGAAAGAAAACTGACAAGATCACAACTTTCAAGTTTACACCAAAATATCTGGTTTATTGAAACATGACTCAGTTTGGACAACCCCTTCAGGTCCCCTCCCACTGCGGGAGCTTTTCTGTCCTCTCAATAAATCCTGCTTTCAAGAACAAAAAAAAGGAAATATGACTCAGTTTCAATATGTTCAGAAAATTTAACAATTCTTTTATACATTGGAATGAAGAAAATCTGTAGTAATACCATACCAAAGATTAGAATCACAACTATTTCATACTACTAATAGTGGTAATGAGCAGTGAAACCTTGAAAAATATAGTCTCTATCTCCCTTAATAAGAATCTTCAATGGGAAGGGGTGAAGGGAAGCAGATATAATTTAAATGCTTGAAAGTAAGTCCAAAACACACAAACTCTTTTACCTGTCCAACTGAATGTGTGAGGCCTTTTTGGTAAAGCTCCACAGCTTCTCATTATGTTCTCCTACACCACCCAGCATGGCAATCTCACCTACAATCAAGAATAAGAGAACTAGTACACCAAAAATGGTCACATTACAAAGTAAACAACATAGTTCACATCTAGGCAGGTCTCTGGTTTTGTTGTAAACAATTTTTTTATTTTTTTTGAGTCAGAGTCTCACTCTATCACCCAGGCTGGAGTGCAGTGGCACACTCACAGCCACTGTAGCCTCAACCTGCTGGATACAGGTGATCCTTCTGCTTCAGCCTTCCAAATAGCTGGAAACACAGGCACACACCACCAGGCCTGCCTGATTTTTTTAAAATTTACTTTAGAGACAAGGTCTTGCCATGTTGCCCAGGTTGGTCTTGAACCCCTGAGCTCAGGCAATCCTCTCGCCTTGGCCTCCCAAAGTGTTGGGATTACAGGCTTGAGTCACAACCCTCAGCCCATTTCTGATGTTTTAAACCACCAAGTTTATGTTAATTTGTTACAGCAGCCATAAGAAACTAATAAACACCCTTTTTACAAATATGAGAATGCGGCATGGAAAGGTCAGTGAACTTATCTAGAACCCCACAGTTAGTAAGAGATGATTGCTGGAGACTATGCTAGGCATCCTTAGAAATTGCTTTCAACTTTACTAGACTATTGCACCTCACAAATGTCTCTACTTCCATAGAGATAACTAAACTT